TGTGTCTGCTCTCTTAAAGGGTAAATGTGTTTTATGGTCTATACCCGTTCATAATATGATCCTCTATCCAATTTTTTAATACACAATAACATCAACTGCAATAACGATTGTCAAGCTAATGGCCATGAATATGAATTTTGCGAGAGTAAGTCTCTTTTTACCCCGATCCGCGCGGTTAATGTTTTTATATTAAACATATTCCAAACAAACAATGGAAAAATGTATGCGTCATATTTTCCATATAAAAAAACGATATCATCGAAGCTCGTAAAAAATTGTCAATGTCAAAAACATTCTTTTGGCTGTTATTTGAAATAGTGAGTGTTGTTGAAAAGAAGAAGGGTCTCATACTCAATATATGAACAAAATAGTATATATTTTTTTTTGTATACAATTTAGTTTTAGAGAGTGAAGGATTGGAAAAGTCGTAAACTAGAAAAAAGTTACCCTTTTCATATCGCCACTTTTTTAAGTGTGCGATAACAATTGCACAAAAGCGCCGGAGATCCTTTATACTAACTTTTTTTTTCGTTTACACACATCTTTATTTAAATGACAGATTTTTCGCTTGGGTAGGGGAGCTTTTGATACTGCATTCAATCCGAAAATTATTTTTCATTTCGGGCTGTTGTTGAAAAAAAAGATGAAACATTCCAGAACTACGATCGACTCCATTGTTAACATGTGAAATGTGTTTATCGAAATTTATGAGCATATCGGAGTAGGAAGGTACTTCATTCAAACTTTAAAATTGAATATATCTTGATAATGAGCAAAATAGAAAACATTAAACTGGGTCGACTTTTTTGATGTTTCCGTTTTTATTCAGCCCAAAAAATATATGAAATAAACATATTTATGCATTCATTTCGCCATGCATTCAATTCATCCCGATCTAATTTCATTTGAGCTTGTCGATGGACACAAAACCATCTCTATTGAAAGTTTTTATAGGCCGTTTTATCTTTGGCGCTTTCAAGTTATGTTAATGGAAAGATAATGATTTTTTCTTTCGGGCCGAAAATTTTTCGGCAACAGTTTGAATTTGATAAAAAAAATATATGTTCAAAGTCACTATCTCTCATTTTGCACAAAACTCTTTTTCAAATTGACACAGTTAATTTTGTATAATTTATACACGAGTGACAGAGTGGGAAAAGACAAAAGAGATACGAGAAAATTTCTCGGATAAATTGAGATAAATAAAGTTAGCGAGAGGGAGAGAGAGTGATGGCAAAAGAAGAAAATGGTAGAGAGAGAGAAAAAGCGTAAAAATATTCATAATTTATGCATAGTGACATCTTGACCATTTTTAGTGTGACATTCATCGTCAAGTGCTTAACATTTATATTAATCGGCTTATAAAATATGAGGTGAAAAATTGTAGATGAAAATCCGAATGTTTTCTGCCCCAAAACGTAAAATCAAAATAGTTTGATCTAGATAATGTACGGTTAAACACAGCGGGAAAAAAGCAATATGAACAAAGAACATTTGGGCACATAAAGTTCAAAAACTACTCGGTTTATATGCATAATTCATGTTTCACATAGAATAAACATAATCCAAAAGTTCTTTTTTCACCATTCATTTTGTAATATACTTGTTTTTGTTACAAAGAATGATCGAGAGACAAATCGGAGCGAATTTTCCGGGCTGAAATTGAAAGAGCCAAGCGAACGAGGTGTAACCCAATAATAGTATATTATTATTAATGCAAAGAAGATTTTGTGTTTGCATATCCATTGACAATATGTTGAATGTGCACATGCACACAGAGACACTCATGTGTTGCAAATGTAAAGCCTGAAAGCTGAGTGAATACGAGCCTCGAGTACAGTGCTACCGATATATAGTGCTGAATTACCTATTAGGTTGTTGTTGTAACAAATGACAAAATCCATTCGTTTCGATGCGATCGTTGCGAATACAATTCAAAAATAATACATGCACCTACAATGCACGTAACAAAATAGACACTCATACTTTTGCTCACAAATGAATGAACAGGAAGGGAAGCAGCAACATAAATGCATACACTTGCATAAACACATATTGGCCAAAAATGTAACAAAAACATATTGTTTACATTTTTGTGTGCTCTTCATCTATGTTCGAGTTGAAACAATTGCTGCCGAAAATGTACATATGCTGATGATGTTGTTTGCAAATGAATCCAATGCACTAAAAGTGCTCAATGGAAACATTATACTAGATCTAACTCGTTACAAACGAAACACAACAACTTGTCAGGATTTGTGTTCTTGTGCATGTGTATGTTGTTCTCCAAATTCTATTGTTTCTGTTTGCTGTTGGTTGTTTGCGTGCAATTTCCATTTTGAAGCCAAACACATGACATTGTACTAAAGTTAGCGATGCAAGCAAATCGACGGAAAAATAATATATTATATTGGTGAATGGAAGTTGAGAGCGCTCTACACATTAAGCTAGGGCCTATTCATTTTAATGAGCACGCACAAACAATCCCATTTTCAACAACCTGATCACACTATTTTTGTCAATAATTTATGCGCATTTTTTTTAAATCGAAATGTGCTGTGCACCATGATGATATTGAGCCAACGCGATATCTCGTTGTCAGCATGTAATTATAAGCGTTTATGGACTCGGAAATATGGGAATGCCGTGTGAACAAGCATTAGATCCCAAATCATGGTGATCACATTACACTCCATAAAATTTTCATTGTATTTCCAATGGAATATGGCCGGACTCATGCTGTGCATAGGCGTGCGCTTCATAACCATTCATGGATAATGATTTCCATTGTTTTGAGTACAGAGTACTGTCACGACCGTTGTTTTTTTTCGGGTTCGCTCCATTCCTATTTGCCACATAAATAATCCATTTGCATTATTTGGGAATATATTTTAAACGATTTGCAGTCGACGAACATTTGTACGTCAAAATCATTGTATTATGTGTCACAAATGTTAGATTGGTGGTGCCAGTATTGATTCTGCCTCTGCCAATGCGATAGAAATGCGACGAAAGCTTAAATGAAAACACACGCCGTACGATTTCATAAATAATTGAGGTGGTTTCTTTTATTTAGCTGCTTTCTCTTTCTCTCTATCTCTTTTTCACTCTTGCACATAAACATTCACTGGTTTCCATTCTATTCGATTTCATTTTCACTATATTTCAGAGTGGAAATGGGGAAAAATGCCACAACGTGCAGCACAAATGGTCGTTCGCCGTTTCTGTTTTGTCGAACGAAAAGATGGAACGAAAGCTGACGCCGTATTTTGCTATGCTGTCGCCATATTCCCGTATATAATTCGCAAGAGATTGCTTCGGTTTGAAAGTGTGCTGTTGCATTTTTAATATAACCTGCTTTCTTTGTTTTTCCACTTTTTCGCTTGCTCACGCTTCGTTCGACTCGTTGTTTGTTAGAAATACATTAGCGTGACCTCGAACAATTCGCTCTAGCTGAAAACCCACTCTTTCTTTCTCATTTTCTATCTCTCTCTCTCTCTCTCGGTCGCTTCTTTCCAAACTGGATCCTACCCCCATCTCGCATATATTTCTGCCAGCACATGACCTTTTCACGAACGCAACGCGCACATTTGCAAAATGCAAAGTAAAAATAGAAACCATATCGCGAACGAAGTTGAACAAACATGAAAATTCAAATACGATGGAAAAATGATCACGACCTATGTGAATGCAAATTAGGACGAAAAATAAAAATACATGCGAGCGAACCGCGCATCGCTTCGAAAATATGAATGTAACGAAAAATATGAGTGTAAACTACATACTTCATCGACATACACTTCCATTCACACATGCATTATGGCCAGGTAAAAGCGATAATGGTACGCTCGTTTAGTAGTGCATGTGGATTGGTGACACATCAATCTACAATTATTTTTGTGCTTTACATGCTCATCCATATTCGCCACAGCTGGCAAACGCTTGCGATTGTTTTTTTATAGCTCGAAACCGCTATTTTTGTACCTTGCTCAGGTCAAATTACGTTATTCATCCACAATGTTATCTTTTTTCCCCTGTCTTATGCATCGCGGAATATCACATCCGCAAAACTATCAATCAAAACGAAAAATTATTGTATATGCGATGTGCTTTTCGAATCAACTTGAGATGTGATTTTTTGAAGTCAATATATAAGATTTTCTCTCATGGTCGTAGTAGCATCATACATTTCCAAAATCAAGATTTGCCGAGAACAAAAAAATGTGTGTTTTCAACTTTTTCATTACTTTAATGTATATACTCCATGTCATTATGCCGTTTTGTTTGTTTTTTATTTCTTCTATTTTCGTTACTCTTAAACTTTATTAAAAATTCAAATGTACATTATTTACAATGACTTAACTTTAACCATTTTTCATGTGCCGTTGACGGCACACCGTCTTTATACTGCAGCATATACACACATAGAGATTACACAGTAAGTAATAGCCACATAATGTATCTATAATATATTTTCACTATTGTTTAGCGCCGTTTAACATCAATTTCACGAAGAAGTGTACATTTTTTTCTGTCCATTATTTTTTCATTTTCTATCCATTAAAGGTTCTCATTTTGATTATTCAAAAGATGACTATCTACGGTGTTCTTCGGAAATCAGAGGCACAATCCATAATAATCTGCAAGCTAGCACATACAACATCCTTGGATATTTTACATTTTGACACAGACATTTATGACATATTTTTCATAATATATTCAATAGATTTTCATTGTGGTTGCATCTGTTATGCAAAATTTCCATTCAATAATTATGACATTTTCTAAAAAAAAAATGCTGGTAATCGGACTTTCACTTTTCGTATCATCAATTTCAATTAAAGTGCCCTCATTAGAACAATAAATGAATTTTTTTCTTTAGTAATTAATTTCCGACACTTCATTTCATCAATTAGACTTGATGTTTAAATAATTGAATTCAAAATATGATTACTCCATATGAATGGCCTACATAAAACCACAAGCAATTTACAAATTTATTTAACTGATTTTTTTGTTTCATTAAAAAAATATCGATTATCTCTACTCACTAACATTTCCTTATTTCATTCATTTCCAAGCGTTGAAAAGCAGTCTGTTTGATGTGTGTCAAAACGAACAAATTGCCCACATTTGGTTGGTTCTCTTGGACACTTTTTTATTTCACTCTATGTTTACGGCATGCAGAATGAATGTAGAAAATTCAACAAAACTATGAGTAGAATTGGCAAATTTAGAGTAATCGATGCAATTTGTAGCTTATAAAAGTCACTTCGATCACTCGATGACGGATCAGGACCTTCCATATAATTTTGCGGCAATATAGTCGTCGTTTCAGCTGGATCGATGTCAACTGTGAAATATAAATAAAAAAATTAAAATGCAATTAATACTATCAAATCATTTTATGCGATTTACAATTCAAATTAAATACATAAAACTTTAAAATGATCCAAATTGCAAAGTGGAAAATCAACATCTACTGTTTAATTTTGTTGGTCTGTATGACTTTTAGTTTAATTGCAGTTCTCTTTTCTCTAGGTTTAATGAAGTCCATTTGTAATGCAAACGATTGAATATTCGAACGAATTCGATAAAATGCAACTTGACGGCATTGCATTGCACTATTAAACTCGAACTCGAACTCGAAAATCAACTTGTGTAATGGAATTTCGTGAGGAGGGTGGGGTTTTGTTTGTTTTTACAAATAAAACCATTGAATTTGATTTGCGATTCATTTAAATAGATTCGATCGTATATCATCGCCATTGGGGATTGGAAAATCAACAAGAGTCGAGTAGTATACATTCGCAAGCAATGACTTCGAAGTGTTCGGCGTGTTAATGCAATAGGATGACCGAATTGAAATGCTATGCAAATATGAGATGCATGATAGTCAATGCACTTGCACTTGCACTTCGTTGGAATTGCTGCAAGGAATGAGAAATTCCATGAATGTAAAGTGATCAGTTATCATGGAAAACGAAATGGAGAGCACTTTTTTCGAATCGCTCTATCTGTCTCTGAGTATTTTCATCTCTGTTGCATCTCTCATCTTACATTTGATTCGATGCATGCTTTAGCCTGCTGCAACACATTGAACTCTCTCGTACAAAATTTAATTTATTATTTTCCAATAGTTTTCACATCGTGGTCCGACCATCATCATCGATGTTGTCGCCGTCGTCATTGCCGATTGAGGCACAAAGTCACAACCTGTATGTAACAAGAGCAATTTTTCGATTTAATTCAGCATGCTTATATTGGTTGATATAAAGCCCCTCGTACTTGTTTTTTTTTCTTTCTCTCTCTCTCGTCTTCATCGATTATTATGCTTGACATGGCACGAGCGCATCCGAATGCAAGATATCACATTAGCTTGCGGAAGAGCACAAGAGATATTAAAACTTTATACTGTTTCTAAGACTTAACTTTATTTGAACATGTTCCGATCATTTTTTTTTATTCGTCGAAGAAGACGCATTAGGGACAAATAAAGTTCTGAACACCATACATCTCGTTCGCTTTCTTCTTCTTCTTCGTTTTTTGACAATGTTTTTCCTCTAATTTTATTCGCATGTTCAAACTCTATCAAAACGTGCCCCATCCAAACTCAACCGATATCTGAATGGGTTTAGCGATTTTCATCAATTCAACATTTGCATCAAATATTCAAACCAATTCACAAACATTGTCGCTTTGCATTCGTAGATGATTACTTTTGTTGGATGTGATGAAATGGATCCGAAGTTTTTTTCTTTCTAAATTTCTTTTTCTTCTTCTCTTTTGACGTCATTTTGTTTACAGCGAACTGCACGCCAGTTAATACAGGAATGATAGAATTTGGAAAAACGACATAAAAATGGAAGGACATATATTTCACATTTATATTCGATGAAAATATCTGGCACGTTTTCTAAAAATAAAAATACACGATGGATGATAGAAATTTAATGAGCTTTCATTCATTATTTTATGTGGAAAATTTCCGGAGGTGAATTATTGAACGGGCAAAGATTTGTGACAGAAGTTTCGACTTAACGATAACATTTCATGCAAGACAAATTCCTATTCAAATAACATTGAGTTCGTTTTTTCGGCTCACATGTTCTGTGCCGAAGTGAACTATAGTAATATAACATATTTGTAGTCACGAAAGATCTTCCGATCACGTTTTCATGCTGTGCACCCGAAATAAAAAAACACACATACGACAGCAGAAAAAAGAAATGAAGAGAAAAAAAGCATGCGAATCCACTGTGCAATTGGTCCACGCAAAAGCCAAAGGAATTGCTACGTGAGGTAAGTTACGATTTTTTTCGTCAGCTCCACTCATGTTTTCTAGTTTGCTTTTAATACCTTCACACAATTTCATCGAATTGAAGTTTTAAATCACATTGAAGAAAAAAAAATCAAGAACATATATTTCAACGCCGCAAAATTTATTGTTGCTAGAGAATAACCAAGGAGCGCTTTTTGCGTGCAAAATATTCGCCGAAGTAAATTCATCGATTATTTGTTCAAAACTTTGAGTTATTACCTCATGAAAAATGCTTGCTGCTGCTTGAATTTGCAAGAAACAACAATGACGATGAAAAAAAATCTTATTAAGCGACCATTATGCATGATTTCAACGTTTACTCATTGTTTTTTTTTCTTCGCAATTCGCTTACTTGCCTGCTGAGCGGAGCCTTGACTATCTTTATGGAAATTGTTGTTATTTTTGGCGTATATTAACCAGAGAAAAACCGCAGATGTGGTAGATAATTCAAATGTGCAGTGCACGCTGAAGGATTTTAAAATGAATGAATATGGTGTGTGTGTAGGTTCTCAAGTGCTCTGTCTGTGTTTTTATAAAGAAATTTTTGCATAAAAACATGCACATACAGTCGACGGATCGGAATATTCCCACATGATGTATGCTTAACGGGCATATACATGTTCAATGTGTCGGCACACAACTATGAAAAGGGAAAAATTGATGAAATTCTAATTTTTCTGTGTAAAATAATTTGGAACGAGATTTATTTACGATTCATAAACATTTATTCTCGCATGACTCGTCATCTCATGATACGATAGAAATGGCGAAGACAGGAAGAAAAATTATAGCCATATATTCAAGTGCGGCGCACTTTTCATAGTGTATTTCACAAAGAAATACCCTCTCTCTTTTGTGTGTGATAACGATGTGACGCAGCAAAGAAAAAAAATTATATTATTCCGACGAGTAAAAGTGGAATATGATGATATGCAAACGAGAAAATATATTTATGTGAACATGTATGGGTTACATTGGATGTGCTTTTCAGTGTATCTTGATTTCACCGGGTTTTTCTCTGTACCACGCACTTGATATTATTACACACATGATGGCATTTTTATTCACATAAAACTAATAAATATAAAATTGAAGCGGAGCACAAGAAATCTTGCGCAAAAATTTCCTATTTCTATCTCTCGTTCGGCTCTCTGTCTTTTGGGCGCTGTTGTTTAACGTCGTCATGCAATTTTATTTTTCGCTACGCATATTATTTTCTCATATAAATACATTTATGCAAATATATGCTCGTGAACAGAAGCACTGAATTCGCTGGATTATTATAATGGTTAAAGATGTAGTCATGCGTTCGATTCACTTCGATCGCAAAATAAATTACCAATATGAATGGGAATCACATCATCAAATCGAACGGAGCAATTGCATGTTGTTTTGAATACCTATCGATCATCGGCGGCTAAAAGCTCGTGAGACAAATCCCTCGGCAAGTCGACTTTTTCGCAAGGCAAGATGGAACGGGACATAACGTTTTTAAAACAAAAACAAAATCAATTTTCTCTTCATCACGTTTCGTAATGTTTCTGCGACTTTGAATAATACAATTTTTTTTCTCTAGGCATTTTCGGATATAATACGAAAATTAAATTATAAAGACTGCACTTGCGAGTGTTAAGTAGAATAAAAAAAAAGATGATATTGCCGGATTTTATTTATTACGACACAAAATTGTTTGAAGATATATCCGGCCGAATTTACGTTTTACGAAAAGTAAAAATGTTTTGGATCAGTTGAGTGATTGCGTTGGTTGTGTAAAACTCGCTTTTTCGTCTAATCTGCAATAACCTTGGGCAAAAAACGCCAAATGATGCACGAAAATGCGTTTCATCTAATCGTACTTACTTTTCACCGAATAGGTTTTGTAGTCAGCATATTGTTCGCCTTCAGGTTTAACATGAGCCGGAATCGTTGCCAAACAGCTGATTTCAAGTCGTCCATTCAATGCATGTAGCTCCGATACCTGGATGCTTAATTGACTGCTCGTTGCCACTAAACGATGTCGACTGCTGTTGCTCGATTTAGCCGGGTTCGTTAGGTCGTTGGTGTGCCGTCTGTACTTGCGATGTGGTGAACGATGTGGATTTCTGCAAAATGACACGAAATTAAAACGAAATGTTACAACTTGTGACTTAAATGCTTTTATATCATAAGAGTTTTGGTATTATACCGCTGCCTATGCGGTGTGGGCGTTAGAGTGAGTGTGCGCCATTGACGTAGGTTCATTTTCTTCCTCTTTCTCCCATTATTTTACTCTCTCTCTTGTTTTCTCGCGCCCACTCCGAACTTTGCTCTATTCAAAAGGATTTTCGTCATTAACTTCGTTGAAAAGTACCGTCGCCGACACGAATTCACGCCACAAGTTCAATTCATTCATCATTTACGTTTGATATGATATAGAATGTTGAAATCGCGTAATGCGCACACAAACCGATTTCTAATTTACCGATTCTTGATTGCAAACCAAAATAAGCGACCGCAGTACACATCAACTGCACAAGAATTCATGCTGTGTAACTCAAGTCAAAAATCAAATAATTCATGTCTTTATATATAGATTTTGTTGGTGCAAAGTTATTTTTTACTCAATTTGACGTCAATACCGTTCGATCCTCAAGCGACTTTCACCACATCGGTTGAATTATGAGGTAAATCGCACGAAAACTTTGTTTTCCCATGTCATATACTCGACATGCATTCCATGCAAACATGAACGTATGTTTGATTTTTTTTGTCGTGTTTTGTTTTCATTCGTGAATAAAGTTGAATGTTGATTTTACAACTTTTTGGCATTCTGACTATTGCGATTTATTATTGTGTCTGAAAGTTAAATAAATCATCAGACCTATTTGCTAATTACAATTATTCGTTTACGAATGAAACTGGCGTGAACGAGAAAAAAACAAAAAAAACTATCATCGTTACAGCCGCTGCCACGGCCACAACTAGCGGTGCTTATCAGTGATGGTTTTTTCCTATCTGAATAGCGCTAGCTATTCGGAGCGTCTGAACAGCATTGCTGCCCAGATGCTGAATCGAAGCGGTTGCCGCACGCGTTTTGTACCACACAACATATTGTCATATAGTCTAAGTAACCAGTGAGCTCACAGAGTATGATACACTAATACTATAGTCAGTATATAGGAAAAAACCATCACTGGTGCTTATTCAACTTTATTTCACTTATCATTGATAACAAAACAATTTTCCATGAAATTCACTATTGTTTGAAAGTTTTCAAGCCTCTTTCGAAATTACAGGCTTTTCGATGCGATTAATTGACTTGCCAGCCAAATTTCGTTTATACCATTAAAAACTTTCTCGACGATATTTTGACCAGAGACCAAAGCGGTTGAATCGCAAACTGATTCAATGCTTGGTAATTATTTTGGTTAATTCAACCAGTTGGAAAATACATTTCCTGCAGCAAACACTTTTGACGGGGCCAACCACCTACATTATAATGAGCCATGAACACCACGAACCATTCAAATATTGGGTGGTGTGGTTGTGATACGATATAGAATTAACATTAGATTTACTGCGAAAAGCTTTCGAATACAAAATGGATGAAAGTATCAAGGTGGAAAATCTGTGGGCACAGCACAAAGGTAAAAGTTAATCCGGCTTTGGGTTGACAGTATACATTTGGAAAAAAAACAAAAATAATGTGTTGACTGTTGTGGTATATGGACTGGTGGACAATATCTTAATCTGTAGATTTGACAAAATATAAATTTTGGTTGTTTTTTTATTCGGCCACGTGTTGCACGCTGGTTGAAAGGATTTTGGCACTATTTTCAGCTCAAAAATTAAAACATCTGTGAACATATCAAAAGGCTGAAATTTCTTGTGTTTTTGGTACGCATCGTCTCAAATGCGTGTAATGTGTACCTAAGCCAACAATAAGGAGCCAAAGCGAAAATGTACGGCATTCAAGATAGACGAAATACGTAATCGAATAATAAATACATTAATCTGAATGAAACGAGCAGCGAATAAGCCAGTCGAATAAAATCGGCAAGCGTAAACCACATGAAAAAGAAAATACAATTATTTGTGAGGCAACGAGAAGTTGGCTGTGTGTATTGCTATGGAAATAATGTGCAAAAGCATTGGCCTAGTGAAAACGGATTCACACAAATATGGTTCCGTTTTACCTGTAAATGACTTGTAAATTTGTAAAACAATTTGCATTTTTGCGCACTGCTTTTACCGCTACAATTCTAGACCGTTGCGAAAAAATCAAAGAATCGCGCTGTTGCTTGTTTTTTATTTTACAACAACTCTCCGTGTTTGAGGTTATAACAAACTCGACAAAGAGCCCCATTCGAATTTCTTCGACCGAGAGCTATGACGCAAAGACAATTTCGACTTTTTGCAAAAAACAGATTCATTAGACGACACGGATTTCATTAAAAAACATTATGCGTGGGACAAATGAATTCATTTCGTAAACAATCCTCGAACTAAAATAAAATACCCAACGCCTTATAGTGTTCGCGCTCTTTTTGCGTGGCAAAGCTTTCGAATAAATCCCCAGCAAATGAAGAAAGTTTGTGACTTAAATTCGCCGATAAAATGAAAACGTAGGCCTATGTTGATGGACTTGCTTGTGTTTACTTCTTGAAATGTTGAAGCAAAACAAAAGTTCCTACCATTGATTTGTATCGCTGTATTTTCTCTTTTTTTTGAATTGGGGTAACTTTCTATTGCGCTCTTGAGGCCGCTTATTTTTGGCTTTTATAGTCTTCATATTAAAAATATATTCTCAAAAATGGGTCAGATACACAGCAATCTCCGCAGAGATAATTAAATTATTTATATACATCGAATTAAGACAGATAGATATAGCTGGATTTAAATTCACCGCATTGCTTGCAATAGCTCGAAAATTTATGATCTGAAAAACTTAGAGGTCATAATGATTCACTTAAAAATAAAACATCGATTTCATCATGTGACATTATGTAATAAGATATGCCTTTTGTGTGTGTATATATTGAAACCATTCGGCTTAATTAGAATCGATGTGCTTTTGACGCACAATACACTCGCTTAGCTCTCGGATATCTGACACAAATCACATTGAAAATTAACTCGTTTTTATGTTCGAATGTGTGTTTGTGTGTAAAACAACGACAAAATCAACGCTATATTACAACAACAACCACAGAGTAAGGAACCAAACCCTTGTCCTTATCTGATTTGTCATTAGAGGTTTTTAGTTTCTGTGTTTGTGCGAGCAGCGAGTCCATTGTTATTGCATTACAAAATTCGTTAAATGTCGTCATAAATTTTATGGTATCCATTAAGAAGGCTAAACACCGAACAATAAGCCCCTGTCATTTAGATGCGCACCAGATTACACAACCGGAAATTCGTTCGCGCGATTTTCAAGACAGAATTAAAGGCAGAAAAATGAACAAATCGTGAAGATGTTCATTACCCATGACACTCAAACACGATGAATTCAGTGCGGTTATTCAATCAATTTGAGAGATTCTTGGAAATAAGTAGTCAGCAATAGAGATACACGATGAAAAATAACTGTCCACGAAAAGCTTATTTTTTATTTCAAAACTTTTTGAATAAAAAGCGTGTTTCAGATCTCTTTATTTCTATCAAAATCACGTTTACATTAACAAACTATCATTTTTCTTTTGAATTTTGTTTGATTTTTGCATGAAAATGTGTTTTACGAACAAAAAAGTGTGAACCACTTCAAAAGATGTTTGAATCATTTTGGATTTAATTTTTGTTTGAAAGGCGGTCGATAAACTTCGAAACGAAAATGTTGATGTTGAAATTGTCAAATTTGGGCCGAAAATATTCACTAATGACGGACATTGTTCTTTTTATTTGATTTTATGGACCGCCATGTAGTTTGTGTGCGAAATTATCTTTCGCCTAATTTAATTAAAATGCTGAACGGGTAAACTTACAAATTTAGCACAAAACATAATACCATTTATGCCGAAATTACAACGCAGTAACGTTTGTTTTTGAATGGTTTTGTTCCTTTTTCAGTTGTTTACGTTTCGGTATGCCGACATTTTTTTTAAGTGTGACTATTTTCCCGGCTAATCCAATATAGATAAGCATTTTGTTTTGAGTACGGACATACATAATTACTGGCAATAAAATAAATTAAAAAGACAGTTTTGCAAAGATTTGCAAATATGCCATGTACTGTTCTCAACATTTTGTGCAAACAAAGAGGACAAAAGCTTTTATGCGGAACGAAAAATGCGGTTGATGTTCCGCATGGGAGATATTCTCCGAGCGACAGACAAACAACAATTAGACTGGGTTACAAACAGTAATTATATAAACGATGCTGAAAAAAAAATCGTTAGTACCACCTGCAATGCCAGCGCAATTAGACTGTCTCGTGCATTGATGAGGAAAAAACACTGAAAATGTGCACAAATAATTGATGCAAAGTTTTTGACAGATGAAAAAAACGGATCTCTTATCGAAATCGGAACAAAGCCTGGTTTCTAATGAATTTCTGCACATTTATTGAAATCATCAAGGAAGAGGGGAGGGAGAAAGAAGACAGAGACAGAAAGAGAGAGCCAAAGAGTTGGAGGGAGAGAGAGAGAGAGAGAGCGATAGAGAAGAAAAACTTTCCGAAATGCACATTTCAATATTGCCGACAGCGCATGGTATCAAATACTGAATATCTACTTGTTACTCTCTATCTTTCGCAGGTGTAATTTTCCATTTATTTAGCTCTTTTTCTGCAAAATGCAATTAATGAAGAATTGCACAATTTGCTGTGAGATAATGAGATACTTTCAACGCAAAATCACTGAGATCGAAGGAAATGCGGTTTATACATATGGAAATTGAGTCACTTGAATATTTTTGCAATTTGAAAATGTGCACAGATGCACAACAACCAGTGCTCACAACATCGACCATAAAGAGACGACGACAGTGCAACGGAATGAAAAAGGAGAAAGAACAAAACCACGGAGATGATAATTTAAATGAAACTTGCATGAAAATGAGACTGTCATTATTTTAAGTCTAGAGTGCTAGGCAATGTGCATATGCACAGCATGCTGAAATAAATGAAATGCATAATTTATAAGCGAATACTGAAAGTGGATTAGTCTTTACTCTTCGCATCGACTGGTTCCAACCATGCACCGCCACCATCACCTATCATTACCACCACAGTCGTCTTCATTGCTTGCTCAGCGCGTCTAAGAAAATATTGGTGAACTCATCAAATTTACACTAGCGTGTGTTTTACCAAGCAAAACATCTTTTTCACTTTTCTAGCTCTCTCTCTCTCTCTCTCTCTCTCTCTCTGTCTGTCTCCCTTCTTTTAGTGTTAATTAACTTACGTGCAGATTATAACGAACGCATTCAGTGTGAAACTTACTAAAGCAAGCCCACCGCTCATAGAAAATTTAAATATTAAATCATATTACATGGGTCTTTTTTGCCACATAACGACCACAAAAAATGACATCTTAATCTCGACGAGACGACATTTGTCTATGTTCTTGATTTATTATTCATGTTCTGTCTCGTTCTTCATCTTCCACCTCCTCTCTTTCCATCTCCTTCTCGTTCCTCGTTCCATTCTTTTTTCTTCCATAACAATACGTTACAATTAAAATGTAATATCATTTAGATACACCGTCGTCGACGTTGAGTGGACAAAAGCAAACTATGGTCAAAATTGAACAAACAAACGATAACAGCATTGTAATTCCCCAACTATTTCCCATGCCGCTTTCCTGTGTCATAACGACGAGCGATGTTATCGATGTTATAGCGACATCATCGAATTGTACGCCCAAGTGATTCGAATAAAGTCATTTATTCGACATTGTGTGTCTATTCGCTTGTGGTGTTTCATTTCTAAAGCTAAACGAAATGTGCAAAACACAAGTTGGTCTTGTATGAAACCGGATACGCTTGGTGAAAAATATGCTGGAATATCGTTTTTATTTTGTTGTAGAACAAAAAAAAACATGCTTGCTCCGTAAATCAATTGCTTAATAATATACCTGTTCCAGCGAAAAAAACGCGCTTCACGACTTTTTTCTCTATCTTTCTCGTTGGAACTACAAAAGCAATAACTGAAATATTTTTGCGCCAACATACATTCAATACATACAAAAAACATTCATAAATTTGATGCTCAAACAGATATTTACTCGATCGAAACCCATAACTTTTCTGTTTTGCTGTGTGTTTTTTTGTTTATTTGCATATTGATTTTGAGGTGAAGCATATCTTTTACGCCATCATTTTTTTCATCGTATTTCGATTTGGAATTTCCAATTCAAATGGAGATTGCCACATTTCAATAAAAATCTAAACAGATTGAAGAAGAGAAATTTGCTTTTTTGCCATATTTGAATTGCGCAACATACGGTGTGCTTACAGAAATCCATGTAAATATTTTGGTTAACATTATGAATGTTTTCTTTGAATTAAAAAGCATTTCATAAATATTTTTCAGCAAATATTATTTTGAACAAACATCATATAAATATTAGATTGATTTCACTGGAGATTTCTGGGAAAAAAATAGCAAATTTCTATTCTCCGAAATAAAAGCAGCAATTTTCACACTGTATTCATAATTCTTGTTTTTATTTACATTTTTCGATCAGATGCGCGAGCGCATCAGCACAAACATCATAAAAAACACAACAATTGCTTTGGGAACAATTGATTCATCGCTTTTAGTGCAGGAAAAAGAACTATTATTCATTGTGCAAATAAAAATGGAAAGCAAATGGGATTTTTTTTCGTCGATGGTTCCGATCAAACTTTTTCATCTTGTTTCACATGAAGTCATTTATGCACTAGATTATCGACAAGCATTTAATGTACCCACTTTTTTTGCACAACACAACCGATTTACTTTACTTCAAACGATGAAGACAACGACACAAACAACTGAATGAACAATCAAGAAAATTGGGTGCTCCAATGTTGCTTTACTCAATTGTTGATGCTGTTGTTTTATGATTGTTGCAACTGACGGTTGGATAAAAGTTTTCATCAAAATGTATACACTCTTAGAGAGCAAGACGAAACCAAAAAGCTTTTAGATGATAAAATGTTAGTCGATAACAATGACTTTACTTTGCATTTACTTTGGAACATTCAAAAGGATATACAACATTGTTTCTCGTCGTGGATTATGGACAAATATCTTGAAAGCACTATTGATCCGTATCGCGTGTAAGAAATATCGCGTTTGACCGTTTTGAATAAGAACAAAAACGAAATTACAATTTGATGGATTTGACAAATCAACTGCCAAACGCAATGCTAAAATAAACAAATTACCAATAAACTTTCGAGAGAAAAAAAATACAATGAAAGTGACTTTCAGTGGAAATTGATGAGGAGTTTTAGTGACTGGGTGTGTTTACGACAATTTCAAGTAATTGCTCTGTGAAATGTTTATTTCTATATGGTATTTTAGCTTTGTACAATGTACATGCAATACAAATCCATCAAAACTCAGAGCGTATTTTATGAAATGATGAATTGCGTGTTAAACTTTATCGGTTTTGCGTGTGACTCGAACTTTTATAGTTGATTTGTGAAAAATTACGGAAATTCTATAAAAGAGTGTACCATTTTGTTCAGATAGAGTATCTAGTTCTAAAATAGTTCGGATGTTGTGTGTGTGAGAAAGATTCACTTCGCTTCGAAAATAGTTGAAAATGTTAACTCAAACATTCCAAAACATTCGGTTAAAAGCTTTCTATGCTAAAATTATCACATCACAAGTTGGTTTTTGGTCGTAGCCAAAGCTCAACCGTAATCAAATTACTCGGTGCAGAGCAGTATTGATTTTCTCTGGGCCGATTCAATTTCGCCTGTGCCGAAAAGAAAAACCCAGGAAAAGTGTAGCATAAATTGAATTTCTAATGCATATGTGCATCGAGGGAATTTGTAAATAGGCTTTTTTATCTGAATGTTTCATCGAATGTTTCGTTTGGTATTGCCATTTTTCGTGAATGTGCTCGTTTCCTCATTCTCTCTTCTAGAAGCGGCACGCTATCAGTGCGAATCAGTGTATTATGTGGTGTTGAATGAACTTTACCTGGTAGAACTCATTGACCTTAACGTATGCAGAAAACGAATATGTTAATGCCAAGGAAGATTGTTGAACACCACCACCACTATCATCGTGTCTTTCACTCCATCACGTCACTACAAATAGCTGTTCATTTGAATAAGATTTACATTCTGCCACACCGAACAAGTTCCGCTTTTGCATGTTTGATTTAACATCGAGACTCCATTTATTCAATGTGATAAAAATTCAAGACGAAAAAACTAGACACTTTTGCAAATGCATCGAGGGAGAGGGAGAGAATGAACAGGAAATATTTTGTATGTTGCAAAACTGAGTTTTCATGTTATTTTGCAATCACGATATAGAAAGCGAGAAAAACAAGTTGGATGAATAAAAAAAAACAATATCCATTCAAAGCTCGAAAGGCAAAACCCCAAAAATAAAAACAAATACTTTGAACAATCTCGGTATTTTGTATACGAAAGCTAAACAATGCACATTTTAAATTCCGAATTTCGCGCCCGCCTTTTTGTACTTCAACATTGAATCCCGCCAAAGTGTGTGGTGGTATTCCACATGCACACAAAATGTGAATAATGTACGAAATAAGAAAAAAAGAAGTCGCGCGTACTGATTTCTTATTCGTATGTCTACCATTTTCTTCATCATACACTCTATCTCCTTTTTCTGCATTCCTTTTTTTTTTTCATTTGTGGCGCGCCACTATGCTATCGGTAATGTATGAATATAAAGGTGCTTTTACTCACCGATGTTTTCTCGTTTCGTAGTGTTTATCACCATCGAAATAATCGGAAGTTTCTACATTGCTATTGCTATAGCTGTAGCCACTTTCGACATCCGCCGCCGCATAAAATCCATTATTTCGATTATTTTTGTTTCGATTGTAACCGGAATTTTGATGTATTTCGACTCCAAAGTGATAGCCATTAGGGGCTAAAGGCTCTTCTGTGCATTGGTGCAATCGCATAGTATTATAGCCGCAACATACGCATACAATCGAGACGCGATCCAGAGGAAGTGATGTAGGCCATGGAAGAGAGAGAGAAAAAAAGAAGAAAAATACAATACAAAATGCACATATATTGTGTATACATTAAATATGAAAATTAAACAGGGATTTTACGCACCGAACAACCATTTTACATACGTTGAATACGGATGGATGACGATAGAGGGAGAGAATGTTGAACATGAGATGGTTGAATGAACAATTCAATATTCATTGAAAATCCGTGTAATTTGTATATAAATAAAGTATAAATAAATGATTGCTTATATGCGCCATTGTGGCGCATCCGTTTGTCTATACCATTCCATCATCAATGCTGCTTTGAATTATTATGTCGACGTCTATCCACCATCAATTCCCTAATACCTAATTTTGTAACAAACATTGTTTTCATTCCACCGTAATCAGTCATTTCGGTGTTCATAAGTAATTGAAGCGAGACCATTCATTTTGACGCATTATTATTTTAATCTCGTTACCATTTCTTTGTATTACAAATTTTCATTTTAAAATTTAATTTCAATTGCATACAACGATGATGATTGATTTACTTTTACAACTGAATTAGACATTTTCCAAGGAAGTTTGTGTACATTTTCAAATTGCATTACAAACCGAAAGTAATTCACATCGCTTTCAATCTCAATTCACTCTATATCTCCTTATCTCTCTATCTCTTCTATTTTTCGAATTTAGCTTGAGATTGAATTTGAAAATTGTTTCACATGTTATTTGATTAAAGAGCGTCGAAGGAATTTGTAACCTGAAGAAAACTCAGAAATTTAATTAAAACTTGAGTTTAAGTACAAATAATATCGAATTTAGAAATGAAACCAAACACACTTGATGTACTTGGAAGATATTGCCAGATTTTTTTTTGGTGAGATATTGCCTGGCCAAGAGAGAGAGAGAGAGAGAGAGAGAGAGTAAATCGAGTATCGATTATAAACTCATTTAGCTCGAAAATATGACAATGCTTCGTTAACAACCGTCGAAAATGTGATTTTCGGTATATAATGTACATTAGATTTGTATTACGAATGAAATCGGTTGATGGACATAGCTTAAACGATGATTTATGTGTTGTAAATCAAACTGTGAAGGTGTTTATTCCCATTTCAATTTGATATTCATGTTTAACAAAACCGACAATTCACACATTGTCAAAACGTGCTCCGCCGAGTATACACCGTAAGCCGGTTGATACGAAAAACAGACAAAGATAGAAAGAGAGGGAGAGACAATGAACTAGATGGAGAGAGTGCGAGAATGAGAGAGAAAGAAGGAGGAGTATGGCAGAAGAAGAAAGATAGCAATATTTGAGGAAGAGAGAGACAAAGGTGAGGTGGTTGGAGGAGAAAGACATTCAGAGAAAAGAAAAGACAAACAAAAAGTCTGAAAACAAATCAGAGTACTTTGGGCAAATATGAGCGTTATGCAAAATCAATAATAACACAAGAATCCAAGATACATGATTTCGGTTGTATATACCAACATTGTGTTTGTAAATGTTGACCTTTTTGCTGTACGTAGAACATGCCTTAGAACAAAATGGTATATTGGATCACAATGTTTATGATCAAAGTTTCCGTTCGTTAAAATCTCTTGCATTTTCATTCACATACTCACCCTTACATGCACGCATTCAGTGTAATCCTCTTGAATAGAGATAGTAAATTGAATTTGAATGAGATGATGAAAAACAAAGGCCAATCTAATTTGAAATGACATGGTAATAAATCGAGAGAGAGAGAGAGAGGGAGAGAGAGAGACATTGAAATCTTTGTATGCATAAATCTTTCCATTTAAATCCATCAATTGATGATGATGAGCTTCGGCACGCATTTCATATTATTATGAATTTGAAAGCTAATTACGTGAGCATTCATGAGCAAAATACCATTTTGGATGGATCATAACAAAATAATACCTCATGATGAATGCATTTGGCTTTGCCGCTCGCACACACACACACTGGAACGGATATGTCATGTAATGAATATGAACACCGCAGGCAATAAACTTAAGCCCATCCATTTCGTGCAGTTAAGGTAAAATATGTATTATGTGTGTATAGAAGATTGTCATTGCTAAAGGATTCCCTGCATTATTCGTCTCAGTTGTGGGAACATTGTCTAACATAAGAAATATATGAGGCGATTCACAAGTGTGTTCAAAATGAGATCGAAAACAATTATTTAACTATTTAGAGCCTAATTTAATAAATAACGTTGTATTTGCACGCCAATTAATCATGTAAAATAATCGTTTTACCTCGTGCTAAACCGAATAGCTTGGTTTACCGCCATGAAACTAGCACGCTTACGATTTTCACTCTTTTCTCGCTCATTTTATGAAAAATATCAAAGGATTCAACATTTGATGTGTTTTATGGATGATATCCATTAATTTTGGTGCTTGTGTGCGTGCACTCGGTTACAATATGTTGTTGATTATGTCACTCATAGTTAACTTGAAAATGGAAATGGCATGGAAACCAAAAGCACAATGCCGACACACACTTGACGTTAAAAAGAACATGTATTGTCTTGAAATGAATTTGATGATATAAATGTTTGTTGCAGCTGCGAGAATACTCTTGGGAATTATACTGGCTCATTTTGAACAAACGAATACACCGAATTGTGTAATCATTTCTCGGAAGAAATTAAATTAAAATGAGGAGCGAGCAACGAGTACATACAACTATAAATACGGAAATTCTAATGACAATACAATGACCAAAATCTACTGAATCAGCCGGGGTGCATTGGATAAACACATCATTAGGTTTTGTTATTTTGGTGTAGTGCATTGTATGTTCCAGCACATGTCATCACATCAATTCCGCTCTTCCACCCCCTCTCGGTGTATGGGTTCATGTACACCGTTAATTGTGCTGACAACATTGTAAATGTAAATGTGGTAGCGAAGCAAAACGCATCACAAACTCTGACGAATAAATGAAAATGTTGTGTCATTCGAGAAACCACATACTGTGTCACAGTTTGGCAAGATATTCTGCGACGACGTAAGTTTAACATACATACTTACTGCTCCATAAACGCAGTCTTTCAGGCCCTCCCACGTGTGTGCGATGTAAAGTGCTGGGAAAATTTTCTCGGTGTCCCATAAATAAATGTATACATAACTTTATGGCAAAGCCACAAATAACCGAAGGCAAAAATCGGTTTTATACGGGGCATACGCAATGTATATGTGCACACGGATGACCCATAAGAACATCCATAACCCGTAACCGTGGCGAAAAAAGCGGCAGCAAACACCATGAATAAATCATGGAGAGTAGATGCTTTTTTTCATTTCTACATATTGAGCAAAATGCATATTTTTTGTTTGTTTGTTTTGTTATTTGCCATGATTTACATAAGAAACAATATTCTGAGCAAACGAAAGAGTGAGAGAGCGGAGTCAGTTTTATGTTTTCGGGCAATGGCGATATACATCTAAACACGCTCCAATGCTTTCGTTTTATTGATCTCATTCTGGTTTCTCTCTCTCTCTTTCCATCAGATGCAATCAATATATCCACGTCTTTTTGGATGTCTATGTTATTCAAATCAGCATAGCAATGGAACAGCCATCGAATCCACTTTAAATATTTGATTTTGGCCGAATGCAAAAAAAGAGAAAAACAAACGAAAAAAAAGCCCACAGAGAACCGAATCCAATTGATTCGAAGCACCAGATATTCAAACACAACAACCAAAACAAAACTTCACTTGGAATAGTATTTGATTTATGTGTTGATTTTTTTGGTCGCCTCTGGTTTTTCTCCTCTTCTTTATTATTCTCCTCCTTTTTCGTTTTCTTTTTCACTTTCAATGGGATCAAATGGGTGCGGTAGAGAGAAGTTGAGCGATGAATTATTTGAAATTGACGTTATTTTACATCATCAACTTTGATCCGGTATACCAACCACCATCGTCGTTCATCCTCAATTTTTGATGTATTCATCACTCTGGACACGTACACGTACACATTAAAAATGGTGAGAAGCCTATTGGCAAGCGATAAAATGAAATGGACTGCTATTTGTAAAAATGCGAAAATTGGACGAGTAAACGATATCACATATTATTTAACTTGAATTTGGGTATTCGAACTTATGTGCTTGGACACGCACATGTCAGAAAATAAAATAGACACACCAAAGCAGAAGATGATGGCGACGAATACGAAGAAAAAAAGAAACCGAATTACCTGAGCTTTTTGCCATCTTCATGCCGAAGCATTAGCTTTCTTAACTTTTTCTTCGGCGCTCAGGTTCCGTACAACCGATATGATATTTAACATCGTGTCTACTTTTCATTATGCCTCACGCTTTACTCGCAATCGGTCATTCTCTGTTTCACACGCAAACACCCTCCATTCTCTCCTCCCTCGTTCTATCTCTCCAGTTCCATCCCCCCCTCTTTCTCGCTCTCTCATACACTTTAGCTTTTCAGTTTCTTTCTGCATTTTTGGTAAACACTTTCACGTAATCGCTCGACAAGAATGAATTGGCATTGCGATTCGCCATGATTTGATTGGATGTGAGAAAATCGACGGGATCTTGTTTGCAGCACCACTTATACCAGTGAGAAAGAGATCACTTTCTTTCACATTTTTTCTCTGCTTTGAAAAAAAAAATACGTAAATCCATCTAAACGACACTCAGTCTGCTCACGCCGGTGTGTCCCGTATCAAGTTGCTCATGTTGCGTATTCTACACAGGCTAATGTAATGTAATATGGAAATGAACGAGAATCACGTATCATGGAATGGATTCGTATGCCTGAACAACAACCTAATTTTTCATAGACTTTTATTCCTATTTATGTATGCGCGCACCTTCGTTAGGCATTTTCTTCTCGTTTATTTTCTTCCATCGATGTGTCTATATTGCCTATGCGATATTTTGCGGATTCAATTTTGCCGATTTTTTTTCTACTATTGCCGTTGTTGCACTTTCATATCACTTACTCTTTTTTTCACTCCTTCTCTTTCTCTCTCTCTCAATCTCTCGATCTCACCCCACCTTTCTCTTTTTTTCTCTATTTTTTTTTTGCTCTCTCTTTCCCTGTGTGTATTTGTTGTCTCTCTTCGATGTGTTTTGGTTTACTTTCTAAACGTGTTTCAGGGTTTTTTCTCGTATCATCATTGGAAACAAAATGTTTTAATGCTTTATACCTGGTGCCAAATAATTTAAACGCAACCATGCATGAAAGAAAAAATACCATTGATTCAATGGCATTGAATACGGCACATTGGTAAATATTTGTTTTTGCCATAAACTGAACATGGTTTTATTTTGTGTCTCTCTTTCTCTCTTCACCATGATTTTGTGCATGTATTTACAAAGTTTGTAAACAAGAGTAAAATTAATTTTCGCCGAATTTATAATAAAAATGTGCTCTTTTCACTGAATTACGCACAAAAAAGAAATGATTAAGAGATCAAATGGCTAAAACCACATTTCCAGCACGAAATTCGAAATACAAAGTGAAAAACGAGATTTAAATAAATGCGAAATAATAAACACGATTGAAAAATTCTCCTCTGTGCTACACAAAATACGTAACATGTGTGAATTCCGCACACATACCAGATTAGTTGAAGTGTAAATTTATACATGTCACGCATTAATCGCTTTGAGCATCATTTTCACAAAGTGAAATAACATTTAAGCCAATTCCCGAAAAAAGTTCTTCATCATTACAATGCAATACGTCAGAATGTCAGAATGTTCGGTTGAACAGCTCTCCTTCGCACACAAAACAAAATTAATATGATTATCACATAGCAAACTATATTAAAGAGGAAATGATGAGACTCCAGTCCGACACATACTCAAAGTGTTTGCTGTGACGCGATGCATCCCATTAATCCAATTCTCGTTTTTAATATAATTTTGGTGGAGATTTTTTTGTTCGTAAAGTTTCATCGAAAAAAAAAAGTCAGCATCATATCAGCATTTTCGTGACTGACATTTTATTATTCATCGTCAAAATGTTCCTGCTGGCAACTTTGACTTTGTCGTTTCATTCTCTCTATCTTTATTTAAGCTCTATCTCTCTGGTGCTATCTTTTCTCCATCACAATTTTTTTCGACACGAAAAAAAGGAAAAGGCGAAAGTGCATGCACGAATGTGCTTTTGCCTTTGAGTCGAACAAAAAGTTTTTGGTTGTCGGTGTTATTTATTTTGGTATATGAAACGTTAATTTAACACAGACTTTGAATATTTAATGCAGAAAAAACGTGTTTTTAATTTACGTTACGCTCGTACGACCGTTCGTCGTGTCAAAAGAGCTCAAAACATTGAAATTAATCATAAAAAGCATGAACACACTCGAAAAAAAATATATCGAAAATACTCACCACGACCATACGACTGCGAAAATGGTGATGCAAGTGTACGGGCACGCGATGAACTGTTGGAATCGTGCCTATCACGAGGTTGGTTGTTTGTCAGTGTTTTTGCTCGATGTGAATTTTTTCCGGCCGAACCATTGCTGCCCGATCCACCCGAATGTAAATGAATGGTTCTTATATATTTATCGTCAACCTGTTGCCGAATAACAAAAATACATAACACACACATAAACTTTTTTTTTATTTCGATTTCAATCCATCTGCTTGAAAAGCAGCTTTGTAAAACAAAAACTTCAAACAAACAGAGATACAAGTGTTATGTGTGTACATAATAAAAATATTTGTTCTGTAAATTGTGATGATGAGAATATCATGCTTCCTTTTAATGAAAATACCATTTAACGAAACATGAAAGCATGAGATTACCTAATATATAACACGTTGATCATTTGCAATACTCTTTTCTATATCCGTAAACATGTCAAGTTGAGTAATACGTAGATTTGTGAATTTATTTTTTCAGATGCGTTGTGATGTGCTTTCATGTTGTCTTTTTCAACCTACGCAGCATGCATTCACAACAAAACTCTTGACTTATGATGATTATGCCAGCAAAAAAAAAATTGTTCAACATTGCAAATATCGAAAGTTGTTTGATAAGGCCAACGTATATATTTTTCTTATGTCATAGAAAAGCCGGAAGCGAGAATCAACGTTGGATAAATATAAATGTATGTATGGGAATTTGAGTGGCATTTCTCGTATTACCGGCATTTTATATGTAAAGCAAAAATATGAATAATAAGGTAAACAGATATGAACGTGAAATCGACAATGGAAATACGACGACGAATAAACTGAAGTGCGAAGATTTTCGGCGTAAATTTTCCGGTAAATGTGTCAGATGCATTTTAAGCCGGCGCTTTTATAGCGCGTACAGTACAAAGCTGTATACGTAGATCTAAATAAAATGTGTAATTTATACAATTGGCTTATTTGGTTTTTTACTCCACTCGCTTGTTTAAAGGATGCCATCGTGCAAAAAAACAAACAGTAGCTAGATGTGGATGATGAGAAAATGTAAAATAATCTCATTTGTAAATAGAAATACGTGGCACAGTGGAATATGAGATGACTACAAAATAAAAAGTGATGAAAAACAGTTGTGTCAAAAGGTGGACGCTTAACGTCCATTTTTGTGTCGAAAAAAAAATTCACTTTCGGCAATTGCAATTGGGTGGGTTGGTATATTTGTCTCTGCATAATTCATTGTATTTTTCAGTGTGTGATGAAATTGTATACATTAGGCTAATCGAGATAACGGTTAATTTTTTAAATTCTCTCAACGTGACAATGCATGAATTATCTTCGCTTCTCATTTTCATCAGATTCATTATCATTTAAATGAACTTTTTCTTTTTTCGGTTGCGTAATAAACAGAATGCAAATGAAAACCCAAATTTTCATGCAGAGAGTGGTCATTTTTCCGCAAAATCATCGCGCCACTACCTCAGGCGCTCGAGTTTCATAATTAATTATTCATTGCATAAACGAATTCGGTTCGTTTTTTTATGCCCCGAGAATATGTGACGAAAAAAGGCATATACATATTTCGTACCTGTTTTCCGTTTATTAACCAAGTAATGTGTGGCGCTGGATGTGCTTTCGACGTTGTGCAATTTGATACTAAATTCTCGCCAATTGTGAATTGACGTTGGCTGAATGTTATCTTCGGTGGGCCGGTCTGTTGAACTGTTCGGTTGAAGTGGCAATAAAAAAAAGACGCATGAAAGTTGATAAAAGTATCGATAAGATGTAAAGATTTTCGATTAAATAGATTGGATACGTACCAATGACATGTACTTGCTCAATATTTGATTCCTTTGTATAAATGGGCGTTTCAGTTGACACCTCGCAATAGTATCTGCCAGCCGCATCGAAATCGATTTTCTCCAGATGAACTTTTTCTTCGTTGGAATTTTTCCACTTTATTTTCAGCCACCGTCAAAAAAAAGAAAATAATAATGTTATTAGACAATTTGAAAATATGATGAAGACACACGCATCAATCCATTTTGCATACATTTCAATCGCAAATGTAAACAAACATGTCAACATTAGACATGTTCGGCTTGGTGTATACGATATACTTTTCATAAAATACATATATTGAAAAGCGACACACAATACCAAATGAATGATTTACATTGAAAAGTTTTCGACTGTCAAGTTGAACAGCTAATGGATTCGTAATAAGCTGTCATACAATCACAATGAATTACATTTATATATGGGGGTTCCTTGGCATTCGGTGCTCAAAGGGAAAAAAAAACAAATATATGGTAGAATGTATGAAATTTGTAATTGGTTTTATTCCGGCGGTTAAAACAAGATAAGACAAGACAATATCGTTAAATAAACAAAATACCGAATATTCTCGCTGCGCCAAGTGTAAATATAGCTAAATTAATCTTTAATTACACTTTGCACGTGTTTACAAATTGAAGTGTTTTGTGTAAAATGGAAAACGGTGTCTCTTTCTTTCATTCTTTTGTGTATAAAATAATTTCAATAATGGTTCTAATATCACCTACATCGATTTCAGCGCCGGGTATCGTAAAATTCCTATAGGGTGGAATCCGATTTTTGATGAATTGGAAAAATTTTCCGCTATTCTCTTTCAACCACGTCACCTGAAAAAGGAAGCAAAAGAAACCAAACAAATGAAAAACACAAAAAATCCCATATCATCAGGTATCGATTTTATTTTCCAGTTGAATGAATCATCAAAGTCATTGCAATCAAATTCAATAAATTCCGTGAGCGAATCGAAAATAATAGTGATAGATAGAATTCGATGTGTTGCGCCATCATATTTTCGTTGGAAATGCTCCCATTGATTGATTCATTTCTCCGAAAGTTAATCTGTTTGATTGTATTTATGATGAGGTGTTCAAACAAAAACCGAGGCAATATTTCACCATTTGACATGCGAAATGTGTGCAACAAGTTTACAACTGAGTTTTAGAGAAGAAAAAAATATCGACATCGAAAACACTCTCCAGCTCTAACGAGCGTTCATTTCATTCGATAAAATAAAGTAAATCAGTCCGGAAGCGACAAATGGTGTTGCATTACGAGACTTTTTGCTCCGGCTTCATAATAACAGCTAGCATCTAATGACACAAACAGATTGTGCAGTAAATGCTCGACATTGTACACTGAATCCATTGTTATTTATGGATAATTACAATGTGTAAATTTGAATGCGCAATGCACATTGCACATGCAGAAAATGAATAGATCATGGATTTATGCAAGCGTTTTTTTTTCCTTTCGCATACAATTCGTAAAAGTATTCGCTGTGCGCTGTTTATCCACAATATGCACGGTGTTGGCGTCGATGGGAACCACAATTCAAATGCTTACCTTGTACAGGATTTTTGGATCAACATTGTGCTCGCAGTACAGCGTTGCGCTAGATCCTTTTTCAATATATTTCCTAACTACCAAACGTGCCTCTATGTCTGAGTATCCATCTGAAAGGAAAAAAAAGCGAAAGAAAAGTGAGTAAAAAATGAATTTATTGACGCTTCTACTGCTGCTGCAACATACTTTTTACGTTGCAAAATAGCAACTAATTTTCAAGCATTTTTTGCAGTTTTTCAGCGCTTTCGTTGACGATGGCATGCGCAAAACACAGAGAATGAAAAAATATATGCTCAAATAATAAACACCAAGTAGAAGGTACGATGTGTATTTTGGTTATTTTATTTCAGTTCCATTCCGGTAGTTTTCTAGAAAAATGAGCAATTTTTTTCAGTGAATATCTTGTTACGGAATTTTCTCAATTTTAATAGCCGATTGATGGAAAATAACCAACGATAACGTGATCATAACATAATGCGTATGTGTGAATTTAGGTAATTTGATCTGGCAATTTCACTTTGATATATGCATTTATTTGCGTTAACTCATAAATATGTATATTTTTTTCTATGGTAGCTGTCACTATCCGTCCGGACCTGTGTCATTCGTCAACTTTTATCATGGCCAAAGGTCATTGGATTACATCACTGTATACTCTGAATATAAATACTGTTCAAATATCTATGCCTGTCTTCATGGTTTTGTCATCGTTCAATCCCTTTTCAAACGAGAAAAAATGTTGATATCGAAAAATCAAAGCAAAAAAACTTCCATCCCTAAATTATTGGTTTTTTGTTCACTCAACCTTATCACAGTTTTTTTTTATCTTATCGGTGAATTTGTTGGTAGAATTAGAAAGAGCTCAACGGGAAATTGTTGAAAAACATAATTTTTGCTTATGACGGAGAAAAGAAATGGTAGATTTATTTAGTTGCCTGTCTTCGTTAAGTTGGCTCTTGGCTGGCAGGCTGAATTGGCTGTAACATTTAACACGTATCCACTTAAACTTGCGCGTCAAGTGAAACGCAATAAAAATAGATAGCTTCATGGTGCGCTCTCGCACACCCCAAAAGCTTTGGTGTGAGAAAGAGTGAAAGTGTGAATACACGAAATCGTATCTACTTTCACCGTTCACCACCCCCAGTGTCATATTTATTTTTATTATTATACATACGTACAATCGTGATATGAATGTATTTGAGTCTCGTTTGTTTTTAAATACGCGCACATACGAAATAAATTTGTGTATGCCTATTCCACACCCCAAAAAATGTAACGATGCGAATGTGAAAAATCAAGATAGGGAATAAAATTATTCTCCCGAAAGTCCGTTCCGTCGGTTCAAAGATGGTAACAAGCATGTAAAATTTTAATTAACCACACGAACGTGTGCTTGTAACCCACATATTCTCTGAAAAAAAAAAAATTCATACACACCACAAAAACCGTATCTAAAAAACAAGGACACATTTTCTTTTTTATTCTTCGCCATGTCGAAACAAACGAGAAACATGAAAATTTAGTTTATTGCGGCTGCTTTTTTCTCACCGTCGTCTTTATCATCTTCTTGGAATTATCGTAGGAGGTGAACCGCTCGCACAAAATCAGATATGTTAAAATAAATAGAGAAAAAAAATACGACGATAAAAAGCGTGAAAGACAAAAATACACATTATAACACCGGTAGAACTCGGTGCGTGTTGAATTTTGCAATAAATGTCGCTTGGTAACATTGCCTCAAATTAACCATGTAATCAAATGAATTTCACTGTTTTATGATTTTCTTTCGGAATTTTTTGCAAACAACTGAAAGATTTTTTTAAAATCATTTTCGCTTCAATTTTGTTTTAAACACTGCCTCCGGAATATCCGCATCACTCACAATATGACGTATTTACTTTCTCTCGTCGAACCAACACTTTGATATGATTTCCACCGATAAAAACGCGTTTTTTACGGACAGGGTCATTAATTTGCTATTCGAACGGAAGCAAAGTACATCGTTGGTCACATGGCAAATAAGCTGCTTACATTCGCGAACGATAAACCCCAATGTTGTAATAGAAATAAATTATGATGTTTCAATTGCAGTTACAACATGGCATGGCATGAGATGAAATAAAATTCAAAAGCAGATACCATTTTACTTTCTCATTAAAATTATTGTTTTTCGTGTGAATCAAATTCATTAATCAACACACCAAAAGACGGTTTCCACTTTTTTCGCAAAGTTTTTATTTCATTATATCACCTTTTTCCGCTTTGGCTCTTTTCAAGCCACGGAAAATTCAGTAAATGTACAATAGCCAGTGCATGAAGACAGTAGTAAGCGTACATTTTTCTAAAAAAGAAGTTTCTAAAAAGAAAATTTACGCGAAATGTTAAGCGAGTACTATTGTTTTGCTGATTAAAGGCCCTGTTCTTTGCCAAGTATTCACTTAATAACAATTAGAGCGATTTACACGGAAACAAAACAAGACGAATGCAAAACAGCACAACCAAAATTGAAACAATGTGCCAGGAATTAACTGTGCCTTGTAAGCACCGACCCGGAACATGCCGAGATAAAGAGAGAGTCAAAATAAAATACACTGAATATCAGGTTTCACATTTTTGGTATCAGGTTAAAAAAAACTGCGCTACAATAGATATGGTTTCTCTTTTATGTGTTTACATGCTTTTGTTCCAGCCAAAATAAATGCCAATGAATTATGGAGCTTATTCTTGCATATGTTGGGCACAAGCACGTCGTATCAATTCAATGAACTTCCATAATCATAACAATAAGATTAAATGAGTCGGAGGTCATAAAACAGTCGAAATTTTACAATAATTTTTCGCTGGCATTTTTTGCTCACCATTGTGAGTTTTCTATTTGACTGGTGTGATTTGTTGTCGGAATACGTGCGAGGCGCAAACGTAACACAAACTAGATAAGTATTTTGAGGTGATAGAGGTGTAAATGAGATTAGAGTGTCGTGATTTTTGTCATTACATTCGCTTTTTGCACAAGCATTGAATTAAATGAACATTTACATTTGAACAACGTATTTTCTTCTCAATCAAGGATAACGATATGAATTCATGTTGTTGGCGTTTCGTCTCTAACACAGAATTACTTGACGTGGAAATTTATGACTTTCTGTCGGTGCGATGTGTTTTGAATGAAATTATCTGGCGAAAACAAAAGCAAGGTCGTCTACTCTCTTTAATCATCTGTTAAACATTTTTCATCCGAAGAAAACTGCGCATTTTCAAAATTGTTCCGAAGTGGAAAGAAAATTAAATCCACATATTGATTGAGATTTAACAATTGATTGATGCCAAACCTATTTTAGTTTGATGAAGAAACCCATTGCTTCTGACCAAGGGGTCCAATCTCGATTTTTTTTCCACAGATCAAAATTTATAAAATCAAATCAAAGTTAAACAATTGATGAATCTTTTAATAGATGATCCGTAAAATGGCTAGAAAGTTGAAACCCATTTGAGCAACATTCTCCAAATGGAAAGAGAATGAAAAGATCGCATATTACAGAATATGAAGAATTCAAATGCACGCATGACATCGTCTCCCCCCATAAGCTTTCTGGTTGAAATGTAACAAATGAAGTGTTTACTTTGCGTCACAAGTAGTATATACCGTCGCCCATTGCCAAATGATTTCAACAATGCTTTCTTTGGAAAGTAAACAATCGTCTGTACAGTGAATTCAGTGCACTCAATCTAAACAAATATTTGGGCTGATCGGGGCCGGTCTGTGATTCAATTATCTGCTTTTCGCATCAAATAAAAACATCGACAATAAAATAAAGTTAATGATGTGTGTCCATTGTATTCGTCTTATCATCTGAAAAGTGGACGATGATTCGCAATATCTTTACAAATGCCATCACGAAATTCCATTGATTGAACGAATAGCATTTGGTATGCTGTTCATAGTATCAAATTGTAATCTATTTTCATTAAAATTTTCTTTGTCTCGGATTGTCGAATAATTACAGTAATTAATTGAATCAACAAAGTTGCATGCGTCGATTGTGGTTTTAGTCCGGCCCTATTTGTTTATCTTATCTGTTGTGTTTGAGTTGCTGTGAACATTTGTTTAGCATTCCATCTACTTTACTTTGCGAATTATGTGAAAATGTTTGGGTTGTCCGATATGAAGATTAACCCATTCCGTCGGTCAGAGGCACCATCAGACAACTGTGATTCTCGATAAATAAATGCCATTTATGCGAAAACATGTTACTTTTAAACAATATTGACATAGGATCACCGTCGCTCCTGAACCTGCATTTCAATCTCAGACGGTGCAAACTTCATCGACAAGTATTGCGAATGAAAAATGAACCATCTTTTAATACGCTTAAAAAATTTATTCATAATCAAAAATGTCTTCAAAAATTGCATGTATGTTTGGTTCGGGCACATTTGTGTCAAACTTTATTTGGTTGATTTTGTTTGGGTTTAAGTATGTTGCAGTGATTTTAATTTGCTTACTTAAAAGTCAATGAACCAATTCTTGAACAAGTACACTCACAACAAGTCCTATTGAATGTGTGTGTGTATGGTTGACCTTGTTCATGGTCGAACGATGGCACTCTCATCACCCAAGAGAGCAAGAGCATCGGGGAATGAAATGAATTGAACCAAATAAAATACCGACTAATCCAAAGTGAAACGATACACATGAAGAGCCTTTTCTCTTGATTTCATTACCAGAGACAAATTAACCGACTGCACATTTAATTGGAAATCGTGTTTTTTCACGTCCGCTTGTCCTTCTTTACTTTGCGTGCGCTTCTTTACATTGTCTAATCGACTTTCTGCTTGCTATTATGAGACTGTTTTCGTGGTACGCTTTTGTTCGCGTAAAAAACACGGCTATGGTTAGATGTCAATTAAATAACCGTCGAAAAGTTTGTATGTTTGTGTTTTTTTTGTTTATTTCAAGACCGAAAACTTGACAAACAAACAGGCAAAGTCGATTGAATAAACAAGCTAAAAGACTATGGCATGGGGTTGCAATGGTGTGACTGAAAAACTGAAAGCTAATAATATGAAAAGTAAGGTTGCATTAAATGGAACATCTTTGTTTTAAAGTCAG